GTGCTAAGGAGTCTAAGGCAGCTTACAGCGAGTCGTTATACACAGTAGTGGCCAGGTCAGGGCATGACAGTGGAAGGATACTGTCATACAGACGGTCAGCTGCAGAGTGGAGAGGGGCCAGGTTCAGGTTGCGGAGGTTACGGCTGGTGATGATTTGACATTTGGGGGAGGAGGTGTTAGAGGACGGGGAGACGGAGAATGTAAAGAGGTTGTGGTCAGAGAAAGGGAAAGGGGTGTTTGTGAGGTTGTAGAGGATGCGGAGATGGGAGAAAACGAGGTCTAGGGTGTTCCCGTCGGTGTGGGTGGAGGACTGTGTGCACTGTGTGAGTGCAAAAGAAGAGGTTAAGTGGAGGAGTTGGGATGTAGCTGGGTTGTTGACATTGATAGGGAAATTGAAGTCTCCAAGGATGATGGTGGGTAGCTCAGAGGAGAGGAAGAAGGGTAGCCAGGCGGAAAAGTCGTCGAGGAAGCGGGATACGGGTCCAGGAGGCCGATAGATTACTGCAATCCTCAGAGGGATGGGAGAGAAGAGCCAGATGCAGTGGGCCTCTAAAGAGAAGGATAGAGAGGGGGGTTAGGGAGGACCTGAAAGGTGCTCAGCAGTGACAAGAGCATGCTTACCCCGCCACCTCTACGACCGCTTGGTCTGGGTGAATGGGACCAGACGAGACCTCCATAGGAGAGTGCCGCAAAGGAGGTGGAGTCAGTGGCTTGGATCCAGGTTTCGGTGACCGCTAGGAAGTTGAGGGAGTGCGAGATAAAGAGGTCATGGATGGCAGTGAGCTTGTTGCAAACCGATCGGGCGTTCAGGAGTGCAACCGAGAGTGGAGGAGTCGATGCGGGGAGGAGAGAGACAGGTATGAGGTTGAGGGGGTTGCGGCGGTTTGTGGGAGCAGGAGGGTGCCTAGTGGGTGAGTGAGGTGGTGAGGGGCCAGGGTTCGTGGAGATAAGCCCGGCGGTTAGAAGGAGAAGGGTGAGAAAGGTGGCATGGGAGCGGGATTTGCAAGAGCGTGTGGGTCTGTTAGTGGTGGCGTGTGGGTCGGTGGGAGAGTGGAGTATCAGGAGAAGGTGGTGAGAGCCGTAGTAGGGAGATGGAAGTAGTGAGGGTCCGATGTAAAGTTGTTTTGGGGGAGTAGGGGGGTAGAGGGAGGAGATTTTGGGAATGGAGGAGAGGAGTACGCGGAGGAGTACAGGTGGCATATTAGGAGGGTGAGTGGAGTGCTGGCCAATTGAGGGAGGTGAGGGGTTTCACATCAGGGCGTATAGATGCGGAGAGTCAGTCGAGCAGTGGCGGAGGCAGAGTCGGGTCTCGTAGGCCGGGTTCATCTGTGAGAGGAGAGGGAAAGTGGTGGGGAGCTGGGTCCACTGCTGGCTAGTCGCGGCGGTCTGTGGGTGCTGTGGGCCGGTGTCTGTAGGTGCTATGGGCCAGTGGTGTCTGTAGGTGTCTGTAGGTGCTGCAGGGCACGGTGTCTGGAGGTGCTGTAGGGCACGGCGTTTGGAGGTGCTGTAGGGCACGGCGTCTGGAGGTGCTCTAAGGCACAGCGTCTGGAGGTGCTGTAGGACACGGCATCTGGAGGTGCTGTATGGCACGGCATCTGGAGGTGCTGTAGGGCACGGCGTCTGGAGGTGTTGTAGGGCACGGCGTCTGGAGGTGCCGTGCCCTCCAGACGCCGTGCCCTCCAGAGCACTGGCACCGACAGCAATGAACTCCTGAGGCTCCCTACAGCAGGGGACGCTGTAGGGAGCCTCAGGAGTTCATTGCTGTCGGTACCAGTGCTCTTTTGGATTTGCCCGGGTAGTGACCTGGAGCGCCTGAGCTTTGGGGTGTGCGGCCGCGCCAGGCCACGGAGTGGTGTCCCTGGGTGAAGTGGTCGTACCAGGATGGGAGGTCGGTTGAGTAGTGGTGGTGCTGTGTGGGGCCCTGTCGGGGGCCGCAGCTGCCTGAGTGGTGGTGCTGCCGTGCGGGTTGCCTGAAGTGGTCATTAGGGCCTTCTGCGCTGTTGTCGTCAGTCGATTTTGGTGTGGTGAGAGAGTGGTGGGTGGCCGGATCTCTGCTGTAGGCCGCATGCTTGGTCAGCGCAGGCCGCTCCCCTCCGTCAGGTGTGGGTAGGGTAGGGGAGGCCTTCGGAGCTCGCCCTGTTGCTGGATGCTGGCTGTTGCAGGTACGCCTGTTTGCTGGGTGCAGGGTGGCCCTTGGGCCAATGGGTGCGGGCTGCTGGCTGGGTGCTAGCTGTTGTAGGGTGCTGGGTGGCCTGGAGTGGCCTCTGGGCCGAGGCTGGGTGCCGGCTGTTGTCGGGTGCTGGGTGGCCTGGAGTGGCCCTTGGGCCGAGGCTAAATGTTGGTTGCTGGCAGTTGCAGGGTGCTGGGTGGCCTGGAATCAGCCCCTGGGCTGAGGCTGGGTGCTGGATACTGGTAGCTGGGTGCCGGTTCCTGGGTGCTGGTTGCCAGGCGCTGGTTGCTGCATACACAGATGTGCTTGGATAAGAAGTTTTGATCACATGGTGTAGCTTAACTGTCATGGCACTTAACTTTTTTGGACCTCTCACATTATTTTAGTGTCCTGCCTTTTTTCTTTGTTTCTTTTATATTTTGTGTGCTAACAGGGCGGCGGTTTGTTTATTACTAACAATATTGTTTGTTTGCATATTTTTGGGTCACTACAATTGCACAGTTCAATACTATTATTATCACCAAGTTTTTTGTGTGTCCAGCTTCTCCTCCTGTCTGTCCACATCTGTGTGCTAGCAGGTCAGTGGGGAGTTTATAGTGCATTTTAGTTTGCATATTTATTTTGGATGTATACTTTTGGCAGTGCAGCACCACCTATATATTATTTGTTTGATTTAAATGTGGGAGCACATTTAGGTGTGTTCAGCAGCTGATTTTAATGACTCGTTCACACCATGGTGCAGAGACATCAGTTTTCTGCACGTGTTCTGCAAGGGTACAATTAAATCAATTGTTCTCTATGTGCTCTGTTCACAACACAACACTAGCATCACGTGCAGAATTTTTTTGTGCATGAATCTGCAACGTTTGTAAGGCCCATTTCACACCGACGGTCTGATCGGGGCCGCCTATCAGTTTTTCAGCCAGTCCCGATTGGATCATTGGATCATTCATAGACCTCTGTGGACCGACGGGTGTCAGTGATCCGATCCTATCTGCCAAAAACAGACGGATGGGGATCTGTTCCCCATCCGTCCGATGGATCGGATTGGATGACAGTCAAGTAGAAATGGGTAAGCAGTCAGTTTCCATCTGACCGCCCCATATAAGTCAGCGGGCTGTGTCTGTGTCCGCTCTGCAGCAGTGGAGCAGGCACAAACCTGTCTTCCGCCTGCTCAGCGGAGATTAGCGGAGAGATCCCCTGCTGAGCAGAAGGATCCGTCCCGTCTGAAAGGGGCCTTAAACTCATTGAAGAGCTTGAATAAGGCCTAAATTTACTGACATCCATAACATCTTTTTTTTCCTGTGACAGTGCATGAGATTTTTTTTTTTTTTTTTGTACTTGACGAGTGTTGATACCTGGGTGATGCAACACATCAACGCTACCGCTCCTGTGTGAATAGCACTGTGTGGTACCATTATAATATTCAGACGTTGAAGGGCAGTTATGAGGTTTTAAAAATGCTGAATAAATGCCACATAAACACAGGGTATTGACACATGTGTGAACGAGCCCTAAGGTGACTTTTTTTGTTTCTGTCTCTAAACGCCCCTCCTTGTTAGCCCATGTGTCCTTGCACACACAGTAGGTGCTTAGAGGCAGAAAACAAAAGCGGCCAGGAGAGGAGGGTTTTGGCGGAGAAGCTAGACATGTTTAGCATTTGAACGTTCATTCATTCCAACGTCCAGAATAAATTATCCTGGTCGCTGGAATTAATGAATGCCCAAATGCTTAAAGTGGAGTTCCCATGAATATAAAAAACAAATAAGTCAGCAGCAACAAAAACTTTGTTCTCCCCGCAGTCAGTTTCACTGGCCGGCATCTTCAGCGTGGGCACCCGGATGTGACAGCTTGCGGCTTCACAGCCGGGTGCCCACTGCACTTTCTGAATGGTCCCGTAGTCCTATCACATGTCCCAGAAGTCTACGGGGGGGACAACTTCCGCTTCCGAACACCTAAGCGAAGTGGGTACGTGTCAGTTTTAGGTTTCCACTCTCCAAAGGTGCCAATCCTTAATGGGGAGCGGGGTGCCAATCCTTAATGGGGAGCGGGGGGTGCCAGTCCTTAATGGGGAGCGGGGGACCAGTCCTTAATGGGGAGCGGGGTGCCAATCCTTAATGGGGAGCAGGGGTGCCAATCCTTAATGGGGAGCAGGGGTGCCAATCCTTAATGGGGAGCGGGGTGCCAATCCTTAATGGGGAGCGGGGTGCCAGTCCTTAATGGGGAGCGGGGGACCAGTCCTTAATGGGGAGCGGGGTGCCAATCCTTAATGGGGAGCAGGGGTGCCAATCCTTAATGGGGAGCAGGGGTGCCAATCCTTAATGGGGAGCGGGGGACAAGTCCTTAAAGCGGAACTTCCCCTTTTCAGTGGTTCTCTGCTTATATGCCTAAACGTATTTGCAAAACACTGCTTTAGGTGTGCTGCTTTTTCCTTCCCTGGAGCATAGGCATCCAGGGGAGGAAAAATACATCCTCTCTCTATGAGGCCAGTTTGTAGAGCACTGCACAAGGCGTTGGCACCATATAAATCCTGTATAATAATCACCTCATACTACAAAGCAACTGCCTAAAGCAGCATTTCACTCCAACACATACAAAGCTAAATCAATGATGAGTGTGAACACAAAGGTCTCCATGACTGGTCCCTGTACTTGTCACGTCAAGGCCATAACCCCGCCCTGAACATCATTCGGATCGGTACTAGCGACATCTCCTCACTGTGGGTAGAATGTCACCTTTACCGGAAGTGGCTTTCCCTTCCTGCCTGAGAGCTCGGCGCTCTGTGATGTCGTCATGAACCAGGGACGGGAATTGTGAGAATCGCTGAACGATGTCTCCGCCGTTGTTCAGCCTGCAGGAGGCGAGGAATAAATTTACGGTGAGTGGCTCCTGCCCTTGTGTCATCTCATGTGGTGTTACATGGAAAGAAACACGTGCAAAGCCGCAGCCAGCTCTTTCAGGGCTGCAGTCCCTGCTTGCTGTGTACTTCCCCAGGTCTATTGAAGCTGTACACGGGGCTGATTCTTGTTTGGCCCTGTGTTATGGTTTCTCACCCAGATCTCCTGTGTACACCAGGTCTGGTTTCACTCCAGTCATTCATGTTCCTCCAGAACAGGATGGTGAGCAGTCCACTTATACCACATGTATGTTGAGCGCCCAGCCCTGTGCGTCTCACCCCAGAGTATTAGCCCAGTTTCGCACCAATGTGGTGCGGGAAACACTGCGAAACCTGTGCCGTTTCCCGCACATCATTGCAATCGCATCACGTTCATGCTATCTGGTGCGTGTGTCAGTGATAAATTGTGCCCTGGTTCACACTGATGCAGTCTGGAATCTGCAGCGTTTTCTGTGCAAATTCCGCACTGCATCAGAATCGCACTCCGTTCATGCGAACCGCTGCGGGTGTGTATATTAACACCCTGAAATCGGTCCGCAAAACGCAGTGCGATGTGCAGAATCAGATCTCATAGGTGTGAATACCCATGAGATCCGATTCTAGTGCGGACCAAAAAGAGGGTCCTGCACCTTTCAGGTGCGATTAGAGCCAGACAAAATGTATGGCTCCAGTCGCACCACACACAAATCGCATGTGATTTGCACAGGAGTGTGGTGCTGTTCCTGTTCAAATCACATGCTATGTACTGCACCGCATATATGTGAACCCAGGCTTACACCCTGTAGCAGATTGGACATCGTGATTGTCAGAAATTCAGGTGTGGATTTAAAAAACGGTCCTGCACGTTTTTGGTGCAGATGCAAGGAGATATGAGCCATACAAAATGTGTGGCTCAAATCACACTGCACAGACATTTGCATGTAATTCGCACAGGAATGCAATGTGATTCCTGTGCAAATTACATGCAGTGTCCTGCACTGCATAGTGTGAACTCAGGCTTAGGGCTCATTTACACGTGCAAAAAAAAAATGTATAGTGCTCATTTACGCCCTTAAAGCAATGTGATGCATTAGCAAGTGTTCTGATGCATTTCTTGCGCTTTAAAAAACTCAGTCCTCTATGCTGTGTTGGGAAGTCCATAGGAAGTGTTGTAGGTGTGGTTATAATCTGCTGGTTTGTCTTTGCTTCCTGTGCATTGCACTCACAATGGATTCCTGTACAGTCCTCTCACTGATGTCTGACTTGAGCCAACTGAAATTATTGATTGGCCAACTGGCTCAGCGGAAAAAGAAGAGGGTTTGTAGGTACTGGGTGCATCCTATGGTCTGCCAGAGGTTTTTCAAGATTCACTTTCACACCCTATACCAAGAACTGCTTACGTACTCAGATGTTCTACAAATACAAATGAATGAGAATGTCAACATTCGATGCCCTACTGAAGATCATTCAACCACAACCGATGCCTTGCACAACTGATATGTGGATTCCCGTGTTTTCTGAAGGGCTTGTTCACACTTGACTTCTAACTCTTAACAAATGTTCCTATAACATTAGTATGGGCAGTAAACTGGCATTAATGATCTTTAGTATGGGTGTTACACTGGCATTAATGATCTTTAGTATGGGTGTTAAACTGGCATTAATGATCTTTAGTATGGGCGTTAAACTGGCATTAATGATCTTTAGTATGGGCGTTACACTGGCATTAATGATCTTTAGTATGGGCGTTACACTGGCATTAATGATCTTTAGTATGGGTGTTAAACTGGCATTAATGATCTTTAGTATGGGCATTTAAACTGGCATTAATGATCTTTAGTGGACGTTACACTGGCATTAATGATCTTTAGTATGGGCGTTAAACTGGTTAAACTGGTTACATTAATGATCGTTACACTGGCATTAATGATCTTTAGTATGTGCGTTACACTGGCATTAATGATCTTTAGTATTGCGTTACATGATCTTTAGTATGGGCGTTACACTGGCATTAATCTTTAGTATGGGCGTTTTGATCTTTAGTATGGGCGTTACACTGGCATTAATGATCTTTAGTATGGGCGGGCATTGATGATTTTTAGTATGGGCGTTACACTGGCATCTTTAATGATGGCATTAATTTAGTATGGGCGTTACACTGGCATTAATGATCTTTAGATGTGCGTTACACTTTAATGAACTTTAGTATGGCGTTACACTGGCATTAATGATCTTTAGTATGGGCGTTACACTGGCATTAATGATCTTTAGTATGGGCGTTACACTGGTTACACTGGCGTTACACTGGCATTAATGATCTTTAGTATGGGCGTTACACTGGCATTAATGATCTTTAGTATGGGCGTTACACTGGCATTAATGATCTTTAGTATGGGCGTTACACTGGCATTAATGATCTTTAGTATGGGCGTTACACTGGCATTAATGATCTTTAGTATGGGCGTTACACTGGCATTAATGATCTTTAGTATGGGCGTTACACTGGCATTATGACCTTTAGTATGGGCGTTACACTGGCATTATGATCTTTAGTATGGGCGTTACACTGGCATTAATGATCTTTAGTATGGGCGTTACACTGGCATTAATGATCTTTAGTATGGGCGTTACACTGGCATTTAATCTTTAGTATGGGCGTTACACTGGCATTGATGATCTTTAGTATGGGCGTTACACTGGCATTGATGATCTTTAGTATGGGAGTTAGGTGTGAATGAGCTTTAGTATGGGCGTTAGACTGACTTTAATGAGCTTTAGTATGGGCGTTAGACTGCAATATGGTTTTGAATTGTCCCCATGTGACTACAGACACCCCCCACTATGACAACTACCAGACTTAGCCATTTGTATGCCGACTTTGCTCTGACAGATACCTGACGATATAAATATCCCCACTTTGGAGTGCACTCTGGGCTGCATATCGATGGGAGCAAGTCACAGATCCTCTTTCTAGACATCTATCCCCCATCTTGCATTTCTGGTTCCCTGCATCTGCGCAGAGTCTCTGCAATTCAATATTTAGGGGTTCATGCAACCAGGGATCTCTGGGACTATCCTAATGTTAACATTAAGTCTTTATTTACCATCCTGAAGGCACGCACTCAATCCAGGGCGAGTCTCCCACTGGGGGTAATGGGGAGAATTAACTTAGTTAAAATTATCTTTCTGCCCAAATTCTTGTATGTGTTATGGCATTCCCCTATACTACTACCACTAAAAACCTTTCAAACTTGAAGGGAATCCTCAACTTATTTGGGGTTCACACTCAAAAATCCCACTACAATGGGGGGGGCCGCCCTCCCTGATTTTCATTCTTATTATTTGGTGGCGTAGCTTTCTCATTTTTACCACTTAGTAAATCTGAGGCCGCTCAATATCAGGTCCTAGTTTGTAGGCAACAAGGTCGCACTTTATTCTCCCCTCTACAAGTGGTTTTAAGGGGCAGCGGGCACTCCGGTGCCCCTGCAACTCCTGAACCATTATTGCGCCATCATAAACCAGCATTGGGAGATAGCTCTTAGACGAGTGTATGCCTCTTCCTATCACTCTCATGTTCCCCTCTGGCACAGTCCCCAGCTGCCCAAACTCATCTCTATTCCTAACTCTGAGATATTGACCTCTAGGGGGGTCAAATTATATCAGGTACTTGCACCCTCTGGGCCCAAGGCATTCCAAACCCTAAAAGAAGAATATGATCTTCCCAATCATATGATATTCAGATATCTACAGTTACGACGTGCTCTGCAGGCTCAGTTATTGGAAGGCACCAAGATGGTCTCACCGAGACTGCATGATAGACTTACCCAGCTCTATATAGTGCACCGAACTTATCTCACCCCACTTAGTCCCTGATTTTGCCCAGAGCTGAGCCCCTTGTGCCCCCGATGTCTAAGGGATAAAGGTACCTTTTTTCATCTATTATGGTCTTGTCCAGTTATTCAGGCGTACTGGGAACAAATGATCAATTTCTTGCATGACCACATGGGCTCTCCTCTATAATTCAGTCCCAAATCATGTCTGCTGGGCCTCCTCCCTGACTTGCCTGAGGACAAGTTCCTTGTTACCCTTTTACATGAGACCCTCTTTAGTGCTCGGAAATTAGTTGCCTGCCATTGGATGCAGGCGACACATCCTACCCTTCAGGCATGGTTGATAGACGTTAACTTGACACTCCCATATAAGAAATTGATTTATATACATAGGGGTTGCCCCAAGAAATCTACCAAAATATGAGATAGATGGCTTGATGAACCTACTACTTGTCTGACTTAACTGAGCAGGGTGCTTGTGACCAGTTGGCCCCGTCCCTCCTAACAGAATTTTTTCACTCACCTACATCCTTGCATGGAGTATCTGATTCTACCGTAATCTTGCTTGAACAATTCTGCGCCCATTGTCTCTGTTTATTGTTCTCTTGAATGTTTACTGGGTTTATCCCTGTTGTAGAGCATGTATCACTTACTGTGCAATCTGTTGTGCAACTATACCTTCTTTTAACATTTAAAAAAAAAAAAAGGAGCCAGTTTTTTTTTTTTTTTTTTTTTTAGTGACAAGGTTCACACTATGCGATTTACCGCACTACAATCATGACAAAACCGCACCACTTTTTTGGTGCCCTTGAAAATAATGGCACTTGAATCTGCGTTTTGTGATTGCGGGGATTCTGCCACAATCCCAAAATGCCCAGGTGTGAATGGAGCCACCCTAGTTTACACATATGCGATTCTGGATGTGTTTTCAAACTCACAGATTCGCATGACAGGCTAGATATTATGTGTTCTTGTTGAGGTGGTTCCCACAGATGCGATCCACATGCATTGCATTTTGAGTGCCATTTCGAAAATGGTCCTGTGCGAGTTTGTAACGGTGCGTTCCAGACTCATTACGTTATAGAGTAGAGTGGCATGCAGAGATAAGTGTTCACATAGGATTGCTATTGAAAGGTGTTTTTGCATTGAAGTCAATGGGAGGCGTTTTTGCAT